AAGTCCTCCCCGACACAGCAGCAGCCATGAGGTGACCACACTCACCGCCTCCTGCACCTCAAAAATAATAAGACCTCCCTGAAAATAAGGCCAAGCGCTTATTTCGGGGGTCAAAAGAAAATAAGACCGTGTCTTATTTTCGGGGAAACACAGTAGTTATTCACAATTGACAACTTACAAACATCAGAGCACATCCTTCACAATCCGTAGCTACTGAGGACATATTTTTATTCCTCACAGCAGAGGACAGGGTTCCTCAGAATGAGCAGCTGGTTCTTTCTTTGTCTCTTCCTCCCGCTGAACTTCACCAGCAAATTTTTGTTTGATCTCCTTGTTCACACACTCAGTTTGGACAAACTCCAGTGAGTGAATATGGAATTCAGAATTGCTGTCTAAAGTTACTAAGAGTATATTTTGAATAAATAACTACAGTAAAATAATTTTATATTGATAGTTTCTACTTTTAATATAATAATCCATGAAAATTTATCTAATGTCACAATTTGAACCATCAACGTTCTGTGAGACAAGAGAAAGCATTAAAAATATTGCTGCTAGTGCTAATTTTGTGAGATTTATTCCAAGCATGAAATATTGACTTTCCAATTAATAGGAAAAGGAACAAATAGATAAAAAATATACTTACTCATTTAATCGCTTCCAGCCTTCTATAACCAACTCTTCTACAAGTGAGTCATGGGCATCAACATCAAACCTTCAGAAGGAATAAAAAGTGAGCCAAACAAATTGTCATAGATATTTTAGAGTTAAAGAAATCTATATACTGAGATCAACAAATTGTAACTTGGTAGCATATACTGTATTTATTTTTGCTACACTACCTACATACATACATAGTACACAAAATTGTCTGCTACAACGTCCTGCCTGTCAACAACTACTTTAGCTTCAACCTCAATAATACAAAGGGAAACAAAAGATACAAACTCAAGGTAAATGGCTCCAAACTCGATTACAGAAAATACAACTTCAGCAACACAGTAATCAATGCCTGGAATCCCCTGCCCGGCTGTTGTTACAGCCTCAAACCTCCACAGCTTCAAACTATCTACCGTGGACCTCACCCCATTCCTAAGAGGTCCTTAAAGGGGGTGTGCATAAGCACACCAGCATGCCTACCGTCCCCTGTCCTACTATCCCCATTTATTTATACTCATTTCCTTTGTTCATGTCCATGTTTATACTTATACCTGTTATCTTGTACATATTTAACAAACTAAATAAATAAATAAAATACATACATACATACATACATGCCAGTGGTGGGTTCGGCATCCCGTTCCAACCGGTACGGTTGGAATGGGCCTGGTATTGTTGTAGCAGATTGTGGTTTGTAATCTACTTACGAAAGATCAGGGCGTGAGGCCACGCAGGAAGAGAAGCACGT